TTCATACATCTTATATCAGTCCTACCCTGGACCCTGCACCCAGTCCTGGCAGTCGTCGAAGGGGAAAGGTCCCTCTTTGGCGGGACGGCAAGCGCCACCGGAACTGCGGCGACGCTGAATGGATCTCGATTCCCCCAGCTGGTAATTTCATAGGTAACAAATGACCCATCCCCAATTAGAGAACGAAGAAAGCCATGTTTGGACGACAGCAGTGGGCACTGAACCTACCAAAAATTGGCCTTTCACCAACCCACCATGGGGGATTGAACCAAGAAAAGTGGGATTTCACCTGAATCTCTTCGGCTCCCGGCGCCAAGCATGGTGGTCCCGAGAATGATACTGAGATACTGGGCTTTTCACATCTAGTCGCGACCCAGATTTTGTTGCGCTTAGAAATGGTAGCTGCTGGGTCAACCTGTTGGATGGTCACTGATTGAGCCCCACGTGGCCGATATTGGTCGCTGGGATCACCGTGGCACTTCTTGTCGGCGATTCTGTCCCCGAATCCACCGCCATTTCTTCACAAAAAAAACTAATGTCTATCCGTTGAAGTCATGGATTGCAAGCACGCGTTTTTGAGTTTACATTTATTGGGCTTCTTTCGAACTGGGATGGGCTGGTTCCATATTTGGGTATGGCTCATGAATCATAATCATTTAGACCCCCCGAAATAGATGGTTTAGTGTATTGAAATAGCAAAAAATGTGTGTGTCAAGGGTCAACTGGTTTGTCATTCTTGAGTCATCACAACCCATGTTGTAAATAGTACCTCATAGTTATGATTCATGGTCTGGTCATGTCCTTTCATGGTCAACTATGTATATGGAATTCACAGGATGTAACCAACGAAACGCAATGTTTAGTACCCTTCCCCCTAATAACTTCAATGCCCCCCGGGCTCAGTGCTGCCACTGCCAGGCGCCTCTCATAGGCCTTTTGACTGGTCTGCCTGGCCAGCTTGTGCAGGCCTTAGGATGAACCAGCTCAGCGGATCACTGAGAGATGTTGAAACGGCATCAGCAACTCAAAAAGGGGCCCCCATCTGACCAACAAAAACCAAAGGTTTGCCGACTGCTGGTGGCTTTTGAACCAAAAAGATCACGAACGCTCCACCTCTCCGGACCTTTTTGGCCAACCACAAGCAGCACCAAATTCGCTCCAGGTCACAATGATAGCCACCGGCGTTTCCGGGTGCTTTCCACTCAGATGGGCCTCGGGTCTTTTGGGATCTCATGGGATCAGTGGGGTTGACTTCTGCGAGTCGTGGGGGCTTCCACCATCCTCGGTATCCATAGATGGGTGGTAAAGATCATGCCCAAATACTAGGTCTATGGAACTATGGAATTGGCCATGGCTATAAAATGATCTTAGCCACTAGCTTCACTAGCTCAACCATCCTTTTTTCGGGCCCGGGCATTGGTGGAAATGCCCGGCTGGGCAGGACTTCACAAGGTGCTCCTGAGATGGCCAGGGAAATCTAGGGATTCCCAGTTGGATGTTCACATCAAACCCCAAACAGTGTCAAGATCATGATCCATCAAAACCAGCCAGTGAAACATCAGAAAACCCATGAAAACCCCAAGTAATCAACCAGTATACAGTATATATATATATATACGTAATACAATTACATGGGCTATTATTATAGTATGAAAATAATATACTTCAGTGTATATGTATATACCATATATTATATTCGAATATACCGTTGCCCGTTGCCCGTTGCCCCACCTTGGCGAAGAGCTCCTGCGTTCGGTCCCAGAATTGGATGATTTCGGGTGATGGTGAAAGAATTTCTGGGAAATTCCGAAATCATTTTCCCAGAAATTTTGGATTTTCTGGATGATTTTCTGGATTTGGCTCAAATTTGGAAATTTCCGATGGTTTACCATCATTTTCCCCACATTTTAGTGGCCGTGAATTGGGATTGAATGACCCATGTTGAGACCAGCAGGCAGTTTTTTCATGCTTAACTGCCCGTATCGAGGTAACCATTCCCATGTCACCTCCAGTGTCATTTTACCGAAATTGGATTGGTTTTTAGTGAAAAATCCAGGACACCATGCTGTCAACGGAAATCGTCGGTCAAAAAGTCATCATGCCAGTTCTGAAACTGCGCCAGCGTTCTCAGAATTCAGGACATGGAGAATACATGGCCTTTTCCAACACAAGAATTCTCTTTGTCTTTCTTGGATTTTTGCAACATTGGTTCAAGCACGGGGTTGCCTTTTTGGTGGACATGTCAAAAAAGATCGTTTCGGCACCCTTTATTGGACCCTTTAGTCGGCCAACTGACAGCCTCCACTACCAGCAGATCAGAAGAAGAAGCTACAGCGTAGCAGCACATGATAGCACGGCGTGTAAAGCAGGATAAGAAATACAAGAAGCCGCAGCATTCTACAGCACATCATTGAAATATTACCGTAGAAGAAGTTTTTTCGAATTGAATGCGGAAGAACGTTATTGTCCCCCCACACCCCCTTGTGATTTACGAAGACATTATTTTACATGCAAGACGTGCAACTTTTAAAGAATAGCAAGGTGCACGTACGGTGTTAGAGCCGTACGCAAAATCATGAGATAACTAGTTCATACCACGAATTCTAGTGATAACAGATACCAGTTCTCTCTCGCGCAATACCTGTCACACAAAACAAATTGCGCACACTAATCATATAACTATGATTGAAAACCCATTTGCAATACTATATCACTATGTCAATACGTGTGATCCATCACATGCCATCATCCACAAGGTACATATGTATATATATGATGATGTAAGAAATGATGTATGATGTAAGATACCTGATCCAGTACTATCTGGCTGAATTATATAGATAGTTTACCGAAATTACAGCAGATATACATTTAGAATATATCACAAAATGACCGAGCTACTCCAATCCAATATCATCCAACATGAAGTTGATGTGTGACATGTGTGACATGTGTGACATGTGTGACATGTGTGACATGGAAGGTTCATATTTCAGGTTTCCTAGTGTTTCCTGAAATAGGGCTACCCCTAACTAAATCATCCATTTTCATCCATTTTATAGAGGGATTTTCCATTGTCCATAAGTCATCCAGCTATTTTTTGGTATCTCCTGCGGACGCATCTGATCGGACGCGACCGCAGCAGCTCCAGACCTGATTGGATCAACAAAAATATGGTGATTTTTGCGGATGGGGAGGAACTCCCCAACAAAAATCTTTGGACAAAATTCTGGATTCATCGGCCAAAAGTTGGGAAATGACATGAGTTCACTGATAGATTTGCACACTTACTTGATCTGGGCGAAGAGTTTAGTATGGCTATGCAAAGGATCCACCTTTTTGGTTTATCACTGAGGATCAAAAACCAACCATCTTCTGGGGGGATCGATGTTCGCCGCCTTTGGGGATTTTTTCTGCAACCAGCATGCCGCAGATGTCGACCAGCTGAATGTCGATTGATCGCTGTGGATAAACATGGATTTTTATTGATTTTCATTGATCATGGATAGTCAGATCATGGATAATCTGATCATGGATGAATCAGATTTTCCTGACTGTTTTCCAAAAAAAGTTCTCAGGCCGGCCAATCTGCGTCAGGATTTTGGAGGTGGTCAGGCTTTTTGGTACCCTGAGATCTTCCTCCACCCGATGGACCCCTTTCTTTAGTGGAGCCATGCAGCCTCTCCACACCAGCTGAGGCACTTGAAAATCACCAAAGTTGCCACAGCAGCCACTGCCAACCCCGCGCTGATCCCATAGACCCAACGCGATACCGGGGAGCTTCGGCCTTGGCCGATGACGACTTGTGCCGATGACGAAAAATAAATGGAAAGTTGGCCCGTGAAATACTTAAAACATGGTTTAAAACATGTTATAGTATGTTATAGTGCTAGGTAGCTGTAAGAGTTGATTATGAATTATCATGAATTATCATAGTCAATTGTAGGTCATAGTTGATAATAACAGCCAATCATGTAGAATGGTAAATTAATGTAAATTAGTCAATATTTAGAAGAACAGCTATGGGGCAGTAGATCCCCAAATGCATCTGTGACTGACTCGTGGGTATAGGATCTCTTCGCAACTGATCTAGAGCAACCTCACCCTTTCAAGGGCCAAGGTGTAGGGAAATGGATAGAACACCAAGTAAAACCCATAGAGTGGAGCCCTTTCATGGAATGAGAAATGTGGCTCAATCAATTCAACTGGGAACAAAAAAGATGCCCCTTGGGATGCCATTAGGGCACATCATTTGGGCTATTTCCAGCGTGGAAAATCCGCCTTGGATCCCATTGGATCGAAGACCGGCCTGTTTCGTGATATGTTCCGCACTCCTGCGAGACAGCCGCGTCTTTTTGCCAGCACTTTCGCTGCTGGACGTGTCCAAACATGTGGTATAAAACAGCAGTCTGCCCCCAAAACAGCAATCTTCATGGAGGAAATGATGAGGAAATGATGTTCAACATTGTTCAACCATCTCCACCGACATTTCCAAGCCGCAGCCATTTCACAACAGCCCATGAGGTGATTTTCTCCTCGTCTGCAACCATGAGGTGCCTGGCCATCTCGGGGGACCGGTGTCATCCTTTGGACAAAACATGATAAAACTCTGGAGTGGGGTACCCACTTTTCAACCAAACCCATATCACTCACCTGCCATGAGTTATTCACCATGAGTGGCTGCAATCTCCCACGGCCAACCATCCTCCCAATGGCGGCCCAATGTCACCTCTGGTCCGACATGTCGCGTGTCCAAAGGAGCGAATGACAGGAGATTTTGAGCGGTCGAGCCGAGATGCCTCTGGACGGCCACGACTTGGCTTCGGCGGCTGATGGACGGCCACGACTTTGTCTCTTTTGGAATTTAGGGATACCATTTTCGGACAAAGCCACGTGTCAACTTGCAATTTGTAGATCACCCATTTTAGGCACTGGCTTCATCCGCCGCAAATCTATCAGAAACATACAACTACCAGATTACATCACAAAGTTGTGATTCTCTATACAACTATACAGTGTATATCAGATTGCTGTCGTGATATATCTACATATTTATCATATTTTGTGCCCAACCATCCAAATTCGGGTATCACTATAGTAATCTGAGCCATCATTGGCGATATTCGTCCCAACCGCCACTGACCCCCATCCCGAGTTGCCATGTTTTTCCGCGTCGGAAAACCGGTCACCGGCTGCCACAGGAGGTGCTTCACCTGGCGGATCTCTCCGTCGGATGTGGTGATTTCCATCATATCATCACCATCAACTTAAATTTGGAAATCATTTTGTTACCCTCTGGTAAACGTTTACATAACTATGGAAAGATCCACCATTTTTCATGGGAAAATCCACTATAAATGGCCATTTTCAATAGCGACGTTAAATTACCAGAGGGTATGTCTCCAGAATTGAGAAACTTCCACGGCAGTTGGTGGTTTCTGTTTCACCATCCAAACCGGGCCGGTGCCTGGTCCGGTGTCAGGTCCCGGTCCGGGACTTCCAGTGAGAAGCGAAGCATCTTGCGGTGGTTGTGAAGCACGTCCTGTGCAGATGGAAGGTCCAGGACACTTGGGACATACTGATCATATCCCATCTGGTGGTAAATATGCCAAATATATACTTGGTGGTTGATGAGGATAGAACTGGTATAGAACTAGTATAGCTGGGGATGTTTCCATAACCAGCTCTTTTCATGTAAAACCAGCTCTTTTGATGGGTAGCAGGGTAATTTCACCAAGCAGTTTTTGGCCCTCCCTTTTAAAACAGTGACACTGGAAGCCCAAATGCGAATGGTTTTGAACCAAGTTCCAGGGCCAGTTCTTGGACGTCCGCTTCTCCTAAAGAATTGGGCCCACCCATCTCACGTCAACGATCTCCGCCCCAGTCTGGATGGAAAGTCATATCAAAATTGGTTGAAACAACTTGAAACCCACGGTTTTTTTCCGTCACCACACCATCCTCCCACCCCCCTTCGGTACAAAAGCTCCTCAGGTCGCAAGGTCCATTGTCCCGGATCCATACCTCGAGTTTTTCACCACTGGACCCCACAAGTTTGACGAAATGTTAGTGTCAACCCCCGATCCTGGGTTGATTGATGTGTACCGCGCCGAATATGATGTGCTACTAAAAAACACATACGAGCTTCAGCCGAAAGGACTCTGCACCATTAAGAAAAGTGAATGCATGCAGAGACATGAAATGTATAAAATATGTGAAATACAATTCTATTCAAAATATATTGAATATATATCTGGGCAAATTATAATATTAACCTGAATTAAGGCCATTTGGGGATGATTTCCAATACTAACCATTATTCCAGTGAGGTCGCAGTGAGGTCGTTATAATTTACCCATATATATATATATTAACTGTGTAGCTTAGAAAAATGGTGAAAGTTGAACGGTGCTTTTTCCCACCTCTTGCCATGGCTCCAAACCTACCCTGGGGTCCCAAGCAATTGGAAGCAAATGGCAGCTGATAGTTTGCCTTGCAGACTTTAGAGCCAAAAAATGGGATGTTCATGAGGGTCTATGAACCTGGAGATGTTTTTTTGCGAGGTAATTGGGATAGAATTGGAATATGTTTAACCAACTTGAATCAACTTGAATCAACTTGGTATGATATTCGGATGTGTCTTAAAAAATTCGGGATCTTTATCCCCAAGTTATGGCAAATTGGATGGAATTCGGCACCCTGGAAAGGGGTCATTTTGGTTCATACTCCATAGCTGCTCCCAAGCTCCTTATGGATAATCACAGTTGCTGGACTTCATCTACCAGGGTTGTTAAGCAGACAACACCACCACGACGTCCGGAGTCACAACGCAACGACTTCGTATGTTCTTTCCAAAAGTGTCCCAAGAAATCCACAAAGTGTTTTTTTCCACCAAACGTACAAAATTCCCGCATCTCTTTTCCGCTAATTAACATGACATGATATGATGTGAGGGCATTCCTGTCATGTCACATCAACCGGTGACACACCCTGTGGATGCTGCTACTCCCAGCCGCGGAACAATCTCAGAATACATCAGCGCCAGTTCGAAGTCGTTCTTTAACAGAGCCAACTGCGAACACATGATAAAGGTGCCTCACAAACTGCTCAAAATCGGAGCAAAATCGGCCCGAAAACCCAACAGCTTTTTCAAATGGGGACCACTTGTCCCATCCAAAAGTGGCTGAAAAACACATCCCAGCAAATACGCTAAAAGCCTGAAGCAATTGGGTTGCCTTCCATCAACCTCCCTGAATATGAACTGGTTGGTGGTTTTAAGCATCTTGAAAAATATGAGTTCGTCAATGGGAAGGATGACATCCCATATATGAAATGGAAAATAATCCATTCATGTTCCAAACCACCAACCAGTGAAACAGTTTCAACATCTCCACCGGGTGATCTCAGATGGGGCTTCCACTTCCAAGCGACTCATCTGGCCCGGCGAGCAATCGGTCTGCGCCGCCGTGGATACTGTCCATGCCAAGGAATTCTTCACCTTCACGGAGCTCAACCAAGAAAGCTCAACCCATGGGGAAAAAATCCGTAAGGCCGGATTTGTGTCTGCATGGCAAATGTGGAAAAATCTATGATGTAGACCCATAATAAAGCGAATGAAGCCATCCAATGAACCTTCACTCGTATATTTTTCGAAACCTCCACCATTCATTTCTTTGGCCCGCATACTTAAATTACAATCATTCAGAAATAGTCAAAAAAAAATCGGAAAAAAAAACTGGATTGAAAAAAAAACATCTTTCCCCTTTCCCAAATGCAAACTGGCTGAAAAAAAATGCGAAAAATCCTCCGGTGGACCATCGAAGGCACCTTCCGCAGGTCCTGGCAGCTGTCAAAGGCAAGGGCCTCACGGACGCCCGAAGTCTCGTCCAAGGCCTGGATTTTTTTTTTCGCAGTTCAGTTGGTTTATAAACCCATAAACCCCATGAATATCCATGAATACTATAGTATACTATAGTATACTATAGTACACTATAGTTATCTACTTCGTTATATCCACAAACCATCGAATTCAGCCACAGAAATACCTCAACCGGGTTCGCTATCGACTGGGGGCCCCATCCTGGATATGGTGGTTTCATGGGATATGAATGAGATTCAAATATATATTTAATTGTGATGTCATGCGATTGTTCATGGGATCATCAAGAAACTTGATGTCGACTATCATCCATGATACAAGAGTTTTAGCTACTTGGGCAGGGTCAAGTCAATGGGGTTCAGAACCAATGCTTCGTCAATGACATCCTTATATTAGTCACCAGCAAATGAATATCCATCTCCTGCATCTCATCATTCTTGGCCAAAATCAGGATTTGTTCTGCTTCAGCTTCAAAGCCCTATGTCATTGCTGAAAGAAACAAGTTTATGCCCAACTTTGAGTGCTTCAATCCACAAAATGTTGCTTACTTAGTAAACCTATATTTCCGGGGATCTCTCAAGTTTAATCCCAATGGTTGCTCAGAAAACCACCATTTCCAGAATTTTCCCAACGGACATCTCCACAGCTTCGCTGTGGCCAATCTACCGAGCGCCTTCTCTGGAAAGTCTGGTGTCAACCTCGGTAACGATGCGTATTACCATGGAATGCTATGGAGATATAACATTATATAATACTATATATATATACATATACTACACATATTATAAACTATGGATATATTATGATATATGCTCATCATGTAAAACTATATCTTACTATGGAAGACTAGACTATGGATATAAAAGTATATGTATATATATATACATATATATATATACATATATATATATACATATATATATACATATATATATACATATATATATACATATATATACATATATATATATATATATACATATATATATATGTATAAAATATGGATAGTTTACTATGAATACGTATCCTAGGCTTAACATCCATTGCCATGGATCATAGAACTATATGAATATTGGTGGAAATATGTCGGCCATGGAAATCCTTAGCACTTTGGATTGATACAACTTTGACCCATGGCATCCCCAATGCCCAGGCAGCCCAGGCAGCCCAGGGGCACTTTGGAGATCACCAACTGCATCTGCACCCAATGTTCGTAGAAGATATGACACGCGCAGCTGTCAACTGGAAAGTCCTGGGTCGACATCGCTCGCATTCAACGGGGGGAATGGCCTGGTCGATGCGTCCGAAGTTGTAGGACCATCATCCAGTCGTGGATGACCATAAATTACGCTCTGGTAAACTCACAGTTTGCTATTGAACATGGCCATAGAAATAGAGAAATAGTTGATATACCCATTAAAAAATGGTGATGTTCAATAGTTATGTTAAATTACCAGAGGGTTTTCTATTGAAACCGATGGTGACGACTATCCCCCACTGGTTTCACAGGTTTCACCCGAGCCACATATTGACCAAAGACAGAGATCGGCAGTGTCAGTAGCCATCGGAACGATGGGGCCCACCGGGCCATTTCATGAGGCCGAAAGGCCGATTCTGGCGAAGATCAACGAGCTGTCTTTTAGTGCTGCAATGAGGAGAACGAGGTACCCTCTGGTGAACTAACATAGCAATGGAAAATGGCCATTTATAGTGGATTTTCCCATGAAAAATGATCATAGAATTGGATGGGAAAATTTTAACCGGAAAGCCCAACCAATTTGATGGTAAAAACCAGGGTTTCCGGTTAAGATTTTCCCCAACAAACCAATCCAATGAAATGAGGAGAACGAGGTATGGATCATTTTTTCGGCACCACCAAAATTTGGGATGGCTGATGCGGCGGGCGAAGTTTCTTGACGGCTCAAATGCGGTGGTTTCTTGTGTCTGAAATTTTGAACCATCCACAACTTGTGTGACCAGGTCGCATGCCATCATCAATATTCCATCATATTCCTAAAGTCTGAGCCAAACAGCAATCAGACTCCATCAGACTCCTCATAAGTATAGTATATTATTTGTATGTGAATATAAATAATATACATAATATATCTAGTATTATATTACATATAATATATATATATATACATATAATATATATATATAATAATATATATATAAATAATAATATATATATATAAATAATAATATATATATATATAATAATATATATATAATAATATATATATATAATTATGTAATATAATAATATATATATATAGTTATATACAGTAATGTATATATATATATCATGGAACACTGTATTAGATTCTATTCGACTGACACATCCGATCTGACTCTGGGCTTCCAGGTGGCCTCAGCTCGCGGCCGGCCGGGCAGCCATGGCCGCCGCTGTTTCGAAGGGATTATGGTGATCTCCACTGGAAAATCTTGGGAGATACCCTCTGGTAAATTAACATAGACCCTGGCAGAAAACGGGGTTGGAAGACTAGTTTCCATCAAACATTGGTGATTTTCAGGGTCCAACTGTTTATTTACCAGAGGGTATTGGGAGTATCACCAATTGGGGAATGACCCGGAAGAGTTTTTGCACTCCAGCGGCAGGGACGCACCTGAGAACATCATAGGAGCGGCCAGGGTAATCCTCGCATCCAACACTTTTCAAATGGCGGACCCCAAATCCACCAAAATCATCCCTTGTTTTTCTGCAAAATATCAAGACACACTCAAAATTCTTCAACAAAAATCCCAAAATCACCAAAGAATCCATCCAATATCATTCAATATCACTACCTCCAGAAAAATCCATCAAACAAATCCGAAAAAACTGGTCCTCGATCAACTCCGAAATCAGCTTCGTCACCGCCTCCATGGACAAGGGTGTACAGCCCAGGTGCACCGTCCTTGGTCCAACTATGGAGTTATAAGGATATGGCTATACATAGATTGTATAGGAAACTGGGTATACATATATATATATATATATGTATATATATATATATGTATAATTACATAGAAAACTGGATGTTTCACGAAATGTCACTATTACATATGTTTTATCCACCAATGAGTTATGGAAAGTAACTAACTGATATATGAAAGTATCATGTTTGAAGTATCCCCAGTTGTGTGAATTATACATACATAGTCCTCCCCGAGGAATATAAAGAGGTGAATTTCACTATTTCAACAGGGATTTACGGATCTGTTTGTGTATAACTATGTCAAGAGTAGCTATGTGAAAAACATAGCTTTGGGGGCAGCATATATACCGAAATTGAAATAGATGAATATAGATACATTGTTTATTCAATCTATTGAATTACGTATGTTTTAATGAATCGTCAAAACCATCCAAAGTCTCTAAATAAATCCTATTGTAGATGTATGTTTGGAAATCTTAGGAAGACATCTTCCATGGCCCCATTTTTTGGGGGGTGTGGTTCTATGGTCTTTTTTCTTAGTATAGAATCTATGGGAATCCCTAAATTTATCTCAAACTCAATTTTTTTGCTGACAAAAACTCACTCGATCTGACTCTCAGAGGCCAAGGTGTTTTCTCAGGCCCCAGGCTGTCGGAAGGTATGATTGGGATCCCTTCGTGGGGGCAAACCCACAACACCGGGCCTGGCAATGGCGACGGTGGAAACTTGGAAACGGTGTCCCATCCTGTTGGATTTACTGGCCATGAGGGTCCAACGTCCAACGCCGCGACATGGTCCAAACTATTTCCTGTCGTGAGGACGCCCCCAGATCGGGTGAAAACTGTGATGATATCTTTCGACTGGTGACCTTTTCGACACCATCCAATCAACAAACATGGAAAATCATCTGGACTCATCTGACAAATTGAGGATCCCTGGTTGGATTCCATGGTGCTTCCTTGTTTCCAGGGTGGATTTCCAGACACCAAGCCACAACCCCTCGGCCCCGGCCGGGAGTCACGGAAGGTGCGGCCGTAGGACCTTGGAGAGCTCGGCCCAGTCCCCACCATTCCAAAACGGATCCGTTTTAGAGAAGTGTGGTTTTTTGGTCCAGAATTCTTGGGTTTTTTTTGTCCCAAAGGAAAACTCATTGGATTGGTTTAAGGGAAAATTTACAGGAAACCCCTACATTTCATGGTAAATACATGTAAATACCATGGTTGCCTGTAAATTTTCCCCAACAAACCAATCCAATGAAAAACAGATTTTTTGGGAAAGTGAATTGAAGAGCAGGCCTGAGCAGGCCCACTCGAACAAACCCTGACAACTCGATCTGGGCTTTCCGGACCACTCCATCCCAAAGACCTCCACGCCGACATGAAATGCTCCACCCAACTTCACCTCGGTGGTAGATCTCTGGGGCACCCAAAAATCAGAATCTAGATCCATGGGTGATATGAAAGTTACTTGAGTAATGTATCATTAGTATTATTGTTATCAATAACATTCACTCTTATGCCCTGCTGGTGTATTTTTCGTCTCAAAATAAACCCCCCTTGCGCAGCAGTTTTTTTCAGCTCCACGGGCTCTATGCCAACACTTCTCAGAACAGCCTTTGTGTGCTGAGCCACATCTTCAAATTCCTGGGCCAACTTCGTCAGTGGCGCTGAATCAGAAGAGTTCAGAAAATATGGTAGGTTTGGGGGTTGGGGTTTACCACTGTTTACCACATTATATTATATACCTCGCTGAGTCATCTTCCATCCCTTCGCCTTCAACCTTGGATCAGTTTTTTAATGACCCAAACCCAGTTTCACAGCAGAAACACCGTCAAATGCTTGGTGAGATCTCTTTGATTGTTGCTTAATTTCCCAAGATTTCTTCGTGAACTAATCCAAAAAAAATCGCTCATCCCAAACCCCTCCCACCCCTCCCAGTCCACCACCAGTCACCAGCCATGGCCCCCCATTGGCCTCCGGGTCCATTCCCACATTCGTGGCACGTTGGCGCCAACGTTCTGAGTTGCCCTGCAATTCACGGACAGCTGGAGGCACCTTCACAGCGATGAGATCGAGGTCGAGATCCAAAAATGAGAACTATGTTGAGATGACAATGTAGTATATATATATGTAATAATAATAGTACATCGTATATAATAATAGTATGTAATAGAGCCTGTACAATGTTCTAAATCATGATAGAATAAAAATATTTATTGTTGTTGGAATGGAACCTCTAGCATGTAACATTGATCAACACGCTGCATAATGAATTATATAAAGTGTAGGGAGAAAAAAAGAACTCATGGAGATATGGTAACAACTGGCCATCTTGCATTATATGAAAACTGCCAGAATTCGGCAAAACTAACCCTTTAACCGACCCAATCGGAGTTTGCCAACAATCTACCATCTATCGATGACATGCCTACTTTGAAAACAGGCTAGAAAATCCCCTACAGCATGCAAAAGTCCGGTTACAGCAAATTTGCCTATGTAATTCTCATGGTTGATCGAAATGTTCACTCTTGAAATAGCAATTGGTTGGGTATTCCCCAAATAATTAGCCATTTTGGGGTCTTCCCCATCATGCCCTGTTATCCCATAAATTATATCAAATTCTAATTATTCCTGATCATATTCCCATTACATCTCCTTATATTCGTTGCTTTTATCATTGATTTGGGGATGGGTCAAAACCCTGGTACCCCTGGTGAACCCCAAAATAGCTGGTAAATGGATGTTCATCCCGCTAAAAATGTATCTATAGGTATTGACCCATACCCATTTTATCCCCATTCTAAGGTTACAGTAGCCCAAAGATGCACTTCACATAGCAGGCCATGCGCTTCGGCGGGTTCCGCCACCTCGAAGACGTTGGAATCCCCACGATGAATCACGGTGACAGACATCCAGTCCTGGTGATCTTTAACGATTCAGATGGGAACATGGACCAGAAAGAGAATGTTAAAATCCCATTCAAATGCCATTCAAATGCCATTAAAATCCCATTCAAAGTATGTTCTAGTGGCATTCAATGGGATTTCAATGGCATTTTAATGAGATTTTAATGGGATTTGAATGGGATTTCTTTGGTGATTTCATGGGGAGTTCACCATGAAACTACTAGTAGGGAATATGGATACCCTAATCGCTCCAAACCGCTCCCTCTTAACCATTGGACACAATAGATGCACATGGACTTTCCAAAAATCTGTGTCTCTACAGAAGTCCCTCCCTTTTTCGATCTGTTTCAAGACCATTTGCTCTTTCAAACATCAAATGGAAGGTGTCATCGATCCTCTTCGTCTTGGTTCACCACCTCTGTGACTGGCAACAACAGCGTGCGGAAACCTGAAAGGATTGGCATCCGATGCCAAAGTCCCACAAAGTCAGGGGGGGAATGGGTCCTGTTTTCGTTAAATCTGTTCAAAATGAGGAGCATTGACAACATGTTGAGATGTGTGCGTGTGTGTGAACTTGACCCCTTTACAAAAGCTGCTTCATTTGCAAGGTCCTGCCACAAATTCACTATTGCACACGTTTTGCTCTTGCTCAGCAAGTGATTCCCTGCGAAACATGAAGTAGGTACTTCACAGTGGATATGGATATGTCAATAGATCAGAATTGAAACAAGCCATCCGGAAGAAGGGCAAGACCCTATCTGTGCAGTTTCATAGCAATGGGATGCAATGGGCAAGTTCAATAGTTCGAGTTTGAATATAAAATCATCGGCAAATTGGGACTTTTCCATTGCCAGGTTAGTTTATTCGGGGGCCCCACTAACAAGTGGGAGTCATAAGTCTCATCGCTCGGAATCTAGTCGGGTATCTGGGTTGGATCACCACCATTTCTCACAAGCCATACCGCCATTCCACCATGTCCGCATCCGAAAAAACAGTTCCAACAACTCCAGTTTGGGATACCCCCAAAATCAATCAAAATCATCCATTTCATTCGGATTTTCCATTCAAAAATTCAACCAAAAACCAAATCACCACCAGCTCCAGGTTTTTTCCGCGCCTGGAGGCGCCTTGGGATTGACCACGCGCCACAGGAACTCCCCCGCGGCCGTGCGCAGCACGTTGTCCGCGCAGAGCAAGGCATGGGGTGCCAGGAGATGATGACGCTGGAGCAACGACTCGGGGAGACCACGAGGGGCCACACCCTTGAAGGGATCTAGCTCAGTTGGTGGTTCACTAGGTGAATTCTATGGTTTATGGATGTTTATGGAAGATAGATAGTTCGTTTCATAAACCGACTTTCACTGGAGCCCGGCTTGCAATGATATCCCCTTCCAAATTATGGATGTGGGATAGATTCGAGATTCTAGATGGTAATTTCAGATTAAATCCATTGAAATCCAAGATTGATCTCGGATTGAGTTTATCCAACTATCAAAGTTGAAATTGATCGTCGTTTTGGGGATTTATTCATGGGCACTGGGGGTGTAAAAATTACAAGATATTGCCTGGAGAAAATGAATGTTACTGGGCGAATTAGAAAAAACAACTAGAACAGAGATGTGAGTCTTATCTGAAATCTAGGGATCATAATGGATTATATTGGATTATAACATATTATAAGTATTTTGTACGAAGCAGTAAACGATACAAAAGTTTTCAGGGATTTCAAGCCCAATTGATCAGGATTCACCACCTGTCATGCTCGGATTCATCGGAGATCCACCAAAAATTTTCGATGGTCACATTTTTCTCAATGAATCTCCAAGTCAGAGGTGGGATGTTCCATATCATCCATATGGATGTGGGTCAAAATGGAAGACCTAGCAAACCACAGATGTGAATGTCTAGTTTAGTATTAACCATCCAATTATTGGGGTACCTAATTTTGACCCATACCCATATCTTTGGAACTTTACCCAGACCATCATTCACCCATTCACCCATCATCGTCCAGCGGCCAAGGCTTCGGTATACTGCGAGCCCCACAGATCCATGAAGACGGCACCAAAGCTCTGCTTGGCGAAGTCTGGCAGCAGCTGTCGAGTGTGACCGGTGCAGAGCTGGACGCGTTGAAGGCCTCGAGTTGCTCGACCCAGTTGAGACCCAGTTGAGGCTCGGGCCAAAATGGACCCAAAATGTGCTGAGATACCCCAAATACCCCAAGATATGGCCCAAAATAGCCAGTAAAATGACCCAAAATGGTCCAAAATATCCCAAGGTCAATGGAAATCCATGGGCAGAATCTGCCCAATGGTCACCTGCAAAGGCCAGCATCACCCGCGCCACGGCAGCAAGCACCACGTCCAACTCCAGAGCCACCACCTTAGCACCTCAGATTTGGAGCACCGAAAAAGGTCAGTTTTGGGCTGGGACAAATGAGGCAACATAGCTATGTGAATGATGTAACATAGCCATAGCCATGGAAAATAGAGGGAGATAGCCATAGATATGGAAAATGGAGGGAAAAGTGCCCATTTACGGATGATTGACCTGTCAAAAATGGTGATTTTCCATAGCCATGGAACAAATTACCAGATAGTGTTTTGATCAAACAACGAATCTCTGAACTCGCCAAGCTTTACCCAGATGAGGAAAAACACTGTTGAAGTCATGAACGGAAAAAACTGGATTCAACTGCAAGGCATTTGACTATTTGAGGATGGATCAAAACCCTGGTACCTAGTGAACCCCAAAATAGCTGGTAAATGGATGTTCATCCCACTAAAAATGTATCTATAGGTATTGACCCATACCCATTTTTGGGGTTTAAAAAAAAATGGTGGGGTCACCGGTTGTTCACCCCACCATGCTCACCTGGATGGTCCCACCTGGCAAATGTCGCGCAAGGCGCAAGGCTGAGCCGCCACAGTAGGCGCCGACATCCAGCACGCTAGCGGGGGATGGTGCCGCGCCCATCACACTCGAGAGCCTTGGGCATCGCAGGATTTCATGGGCTTTAATGCACAAATTGCTACAGGTTTTTCTGAAAAAAAAAACTGGTCAATGAGGATTTTGCGGTATGGTAGTACCATGCCATTTGTCAGTCGACCTCCAAAATTCTTGGGACCGTTTCCAGCACCACCTGGTGACATGATTCAAGCGGCAGGACATCAGCTTTGCTGCCTCCAGCAAACTTTGCCCATCCACCTGGCAAGGGTCCTCTTTTGTGGCTGTGCTATCTCAAGTTTAACTTACAGTCTGGAGGCTAAGCCCAACAAACAAAAAACATGAACAGGGATGAACAGGGTGGGGGTTCCTGAAGGAACCAACTCAGCAGCCGATCTTATTGGAAAATGTTCCAGTGCTGCAGAAGTTTGATCCCTTTTCTCAAGTTCTCAAGAAACCATCAGGTTTTAACCATCAAAATCCAATATCTCCCATAAATTCTTGGGTACCCTTTCGTAATATTTCACATAACTATGGGAAATAGTCATTTTTCAACATAGGTAAATATAATCTAAAGATAGCCATGTTTCCATAGCTATGGAACAAATGACCAGAGGGTAGTCTGCCACCAGCTCGCTCCGCGCTGCTCCACGCCTACAGCGCCCAACTCCTCCCCGAAACCATCCATCGCGAGTTCCACCGCGGCGGCATCACCCACGGGGCAGCGCTGAAGCACATGCCTCCGAAATTGCGTCGAATCGATGGATATTGTGGGAACCAGGGAGATGTCGTGGCAGTATAATCTTCTACCTGGTATTGATTCATGGGTAGTATGAAAGTAATATAATATAATATTATATTATATTATATTATATTATACAATGTGGGTAAAACAGTAATAAACCACCCATTTGGGAATGGTATATGTGTACTGATAGGACTATAATATTCTACTATTGGTTTCCAATTTCATGGGACTTTTTCATGTTCTGGGATGGAATGGGGGAACCAAGTAGACTAAGGTCTCAATTGGATTGATTTACCCTCTGGTAAATTGACATAGCTATTGAAGATGGCCATTTATAGTGGATTTTCCCATGAAACATGGTGATTTTCCATAGCTATGTTAGTTTACCAGAGGGTACAGAAAATTGAAACCGGAAAACGTGGTTTTTGACCCCCAAATGCCAAAGGCTTTTTTCCTGCGGATTTTCCAACCAATTCTGGGCATTTGGGGATGGCTGAGGATGATTGTCATTGGGATGTTCGCCAATGACTCAAAAAAAACCGGCCGCCAACCACTTCCCAACACCACTTGAAAATTCACCGAAAATTCCGATTTTTTTCAACATGAACGGGGAATACTCTTAACATCCATCGTGTTTTCAAAAAAAACATCTATCTATATATATATATATACATACATTACATTACATTACATTACATTACATTACATTACATATATATATATATCCCCATCGCGCCTCAGCAAGGCCACCTCCTTCTGGTACACCAAGCGCCCCGTCACCGGCGCAACCAAGCGATGATCAAAGCGTGGAATCCAGCTGGGCAAAAGCTCCTCGATGTTGACAGGTTATATATTCAGTTGCTGGTTGATTTATGTATGTATGTATATATATATACAATTATATATATATATACACATTATATATATATATATATGTACATTAATAGATATATCTATATATATATATAGACACATTATATATATACACATTAATAGATATATATATATATATGTCAATTATGTAACGTATATGTAACGTTCAAATCTCTAAAGTGAAAAAATATGTACTGATATGCGTTGATTTACCCTGATTTGAGGCTGATTCATCCGTTCTTGGAGGTTGATATAGCTGATATCTAGACACAAATGCCCACATGTTATATTGATAAATGCCAACGTTCCTTGCTTGTCCATGACGATTCTGGTAGCACCATCTTTGGGGGTTGTAAGCCTTCTATAGACAGCATCTTTTTGCGGCCTTCACTTTTCAAGCACCGCTTCAGGTCACAAACGCCATAAGTTGAAAGATGTGGCCTTTTACCATGTTTTGCTGATGAAAAATCAATTCAAGCATCCATTTTTGCTGGTTAAATAAACCACCGTTTCATGGCGTTTTTTGTGGTGATTTCTCCTGCGGTCTTGCCACTGTCTCCAACTCAGCAGCTGCCAGTAGAACCTGCCAGTAGGACCCAAACAAACTCACTGCAGCTGTGGAAATAGATGGATGTTCCGTCGAAAAGCATCCAAAACGACATGGAAATCCATGTTTTCCATCCAATTTGTCACCCAAACATTGAAGTTGTCCATGGATTTCTGGACCAATTGCATCATAATTCACCTGGCAAGCTCGGCTTTTGATTCCCCTTAGCACCACCACAACGATAGTTGCTTTGATTGTCATTTCCCCATTAAATCTCAGTGAAAATTGGGCATGCAATTGTATGCCCAAAAATTGCCAATTAATTGGGACAATCATCAACCAGTGATTTGTGGATCCTGTAACCTATTCTCAGACAAATCCGTTGGTGGTCAAATCCCATTACACCCCTATCAAGTCTCATTAAATCCCATGTAAATCCCCATATATCCCTCTAAATCCCATTAAATCCCTCTAAAATCCCACTAACTCCCTCTCAAATCCCATAATTTCTTAAAATCCCATAAAAATCTCAATTAAATCCCCACCTCAAATCCCATTTCCGCTGCTTCCAGCCCCCTTTTTACCCCCCTACGACCTGCTCCAAGTCTTGCGGAAACTCCGACCGTTCCTCCGCAATGCGTTGGGCCAGGCGGTGAAGCAGCTGCTGCGATAGAGATGGATGACCTGGAGATGCTGGGCTGGATGACCTAGTAATATATCGGTACTATATCATACTAAAAGTGTGAAATTACTATATAGTAATATATTATGATAGGGTCTTTATGATGTGTGTATATATATATATGTATACACAGTGTAATATACGTATTGGTACATATATACATTATGGTATAAAATACTCGACATTATACTATACTATGCTTAGTATATCGTATATACTATAGTATATGATATAACAAAAAGTATGATGCATGGCATACTACAAAGTATAGAATAATGTACATGTTACATGTATGCATATATCTATATCATGCATAATCTATGTATTATACAAAGACGTATGCATGTAAATATATATATATATATGTACATACATATTATAGGGATACACCACTTTGGACCCTTACTCAAATGCAAAAGGGGGTCCTGGGTCGGGTCCTTTGCAAGGCACGAGGTCTCAATTCTCCAATTCTTGGATATGTCTGCCAGAACTTGTTTCGTTTCTCCAAAAACATGGTATCATTACCAGCAAGATTGCCATTGTCATTGTCCTAGGTTAAATGATGATGAAACCATCAACAAATGAGTGGTACCCTCCTGTAATTTGACAGTCATGAAAACTGCTCCATTTATACATACATATATATATATACATACACCAGATTTCTTCGAAAAAACATCTTCAGAAGTATCAAAATTATTCCCCAAATAGATATATAATTATACCAGATTGTATCATATAACCAGAATTTCCAATAGATTTTCCATCGCAAACTGCAACCAGCCCTTCAGCGCCTGCTTCGAAGAGCGCCTTCAGCGCACTGAGCACCTCCAGTCGCTGTCCCGGCACCGGAGAGCGCAACAACTCGCGGCCCAGGCTCAAGGCCTCACAATGGGCAAAAACATGGGGAAAGGACACGAAGAAACTATTTTTTAGTGGAAATGATATGGGAAAAAATTAATCTATGGGAATATTTGGATTTGTTCAATGGAAATAGGAAGTCACTTTATAAAAATGGGAATAACTTAATGGGAAATATAAATGTAAATAACTTAATGGAAAATATATAGGAACATACAAATATATAGGAAATATAAATGGGATTAATTTAAGGTAATATATGGAAAACATGAATGGGAATTCTATTGAAAGGATAGGAAAATATCCCATACGTCCCTCTATATATGGGAAATATCAATGTGAATTACATAGATAGGAAGTAACTTCATAAGAATAGGAATAACTTAATGGGACACCTTAATATATAGGAATATAAACTGTATTCTCTTAAATGGGAACTTTACGGGAAATATCAATGGGAGATATAAATGGGAATAACTTCATAAATGAGAACAATAAATTGGAAATAAGTTAATTAATTTCCCCATGATTGTGAAAATTGCGGTAAAATATGATATAAAATGGAAAAACACACGGTAAAATGGTGAAAATAGCAATAGTTGTCAACTAAGCCATGATAGGAATAGCTACTAACTAACCCGTATTTGATGGGATGGTGGTTGGGAGAATTCTGGCAAGTGACCCAAGCTGCAGATTTTTTCCATGTGGAATTTTTCCAATCAAAAACCATCCCATACACCAAGCATGTTTGGGCTGTTACATCATCCCAGTCATAATACGCTGCGTCAGAAACCCTTTGGGATAGCTGTAGCGGATAAAAACCCGGCTTTCCTCTGATTCGGGATTTCCCATGATGGTGAAACCCCTCCGGTAAGCGGAAATGAAAGGTGGTGATTTTCCATAGTTACTGTAGTGCAAACCAGATGGTAATCATTCTTCACCATGATTCTCCAACAATTTACGCTAACTCACCTACCAGGACCTACCATACTCATTGTACTCAAAACTCGTATCACAAACCACCCAACCAAAGAATGACGCCATATTTGATGGTTCAATCCCCATGAAGAATATCCTCATTAAACCCGTAATCATCCACACAACCATTCCCATTATATCACTATTTCAGATGGTCAAATCGAAATGAGCGTTGCTTAAACCCTATGGTTTCTTTGTTAAGATAACATTTCTCTTGGTGAAACCCTTCTTTTTAAATTACCATTTTTTCTGGTTACATCGTGTTTTTTCTTGGCTACCCTAAGGTAGACGTTTACGTCGATGTGATGTTTACCCGCCATTTGCAGATCATATTCCGAACGAGAAACCATGGGTTTTCCACGTTGTCGTATTAGTTTACCCCAGGGTAGATCATACTATCTCATGTGGTTATATTATATCATGATAGTATCATTTAATAGTATTATATGCATATCATATGGATATATGATATGCATATATGATAAATTCCCTAAAAAAAATCCACAAAAATCAGCATACTCTGTGTATTCCTCTGGTTTGTTCATCTCGCCAACAAAAAGGTTCCAGTGATTTCACCCCACCTCCTGCCACCTCTTGGCGCGACAGCATGCCATGACTGCCGCGTCCAAGGCTGCCGTGGACCTCCAATGGAAATTCATCACCCATGGGGAGTTGAGATGGGGAAGATCATTGAAGATACCCTCTGGTTATGTCAAAATAGCTATGGAAAATGGTGATTTATAGTGGATTTTCCCATTGAGAATGGTGATTTTCCATAGTTATGTTAGTTTACCAGAGGGTAGGGGGAAAATTGGAAAATCAATGGGAACTTTGCTAGAAATGGATGTTGAACGAATGTTTGAGTGGGAAATCCAAGAACTAAATGGGTGGATTTTCCAGCTAGCCAGGGTAGAAAGTTTTAGGTGGGAAAACATCCACTTTATCCACTTTTGAGGGCGAATTGATAACTTTGAGTAGACAGGCTAAAAGATGCTTAGCATAGCCAGACGTCGGATGGCTTAAAGGATTTGGAACCTAATGACTGTATAAGCCTGTTCTCAACAACTATCTGTAGATTCTTAGATATATTTGTGACTAGGTTGTATAGCTCAACACTTTTGGAGATCAGAGTTCGCCCTGCTCAGCTCACAGCCATCCTAAAAGTGCTTAATCTAGGTGGCGATGTTCCAGGGTTTCAAAATAGGATTGAAGAATCCACACAACTCATTGGTGGTTTTAACCCATCTATAAAACACATTAAAACACATGGGTATCATCATCTCCAAAACCGCCAGTTATTCCTGGAATATCATCCAAACTATGCCAGGTCACATCACATCCTCATGGCGCGCCATGAGTTCCAATGCCAGCTGCCAATGTCCCAACTCAGCGCAGCACATCAACACGTGAAGACCAGCGGCGTCCTGCCGCTTGCGATGGGCCCACGGGACCGGCTGGACAGCTGGACAGCTGGATGGTTCAAAAGAAAATGGTCTGAAAATCTCCATTCTGTCCTTTTTCTAGATGATTTCCCCACATATTTCCCTAGAAAAAAAGGGGAGTCCCTGCTACCAGCTCCATCCCAGCTCCAGAGGTATCTGCGAAGACTCGCTCAGCTGCATGGCGTGCTGCCACTGGCTGCTGCGTTCGCAGGCGCTCAGGGCTGCATTGAGACCTTGGGGACCGACCAGCTGGGCTGCTTCAGAAATTGTGGAGGGTTTATCATCCACATTCATCCACCAAAAGCTTTCCGTTTGGACTTTGCAGATGTTGCACCAAAACTTTGCGATATGACTTACCAATGTGCGTATTGTAGCCAAGAAAAAAGAGTGTTATCCTAGTATGATGCAAAAAATGGGAGGTTCAAGCAAACTTTGACCAGCAGACGAATCAGCATTGCGCTGGAGATTTGCCAATCACGCGCTGGTTCATGGTGATTCAACCAACAAAGATCGACCAATCTGACCCCAATCTGAGTCGAAGTAGCAAATCTTCAGTACCCTCTGGTAATTTCACGTAGCTATTGGAAATGGCCATTTCCAGTTGAAATACCTATTAAAAATGGTGATGTTCCATAGTTATGTTACATGTTAATTTACCAGAGGGTAATTTACAAAAATCGAGAAAACAAATCTCTGCATCCAAAGATCAGTGATCTACGCATGCCCCACACACCACATCAATAGCAACACCCCGAAACTCGACGTCTCGATCCGAGATTCAAATAGCATTGGGCTCTACAAGATCTTCAGGCATCCTGAAATAGCCACTGGGGCCAACGGACATCCATGAGATCCCATGGTTTTTCCCATGGTTTTTATGATGTTGATGTGCTTCCCAGAACCCTAGGGCCTAGGGGCCCAGTCACTACCACAACCCTTGGATTTTTGGAGACCCAGCTGCCCCAGATGCCTCAATAATAGTTCCGCAGCCTGTTGCCACTGGGCGCCCTTGGCACAAGCTGCAATGGTTGCTGAGAAACAAAACGCGTTGCGGCGCACTGGGAAGTCCTGGAAGGGAAATCTGGGGAAATGTCAAACATCAGTGGTGAACATGTGGATGGAGCCCATCAAGGTGGGAAAATCACAGCCACGACATTTTTCTGCTTCTCTTTGAGTGTCCAGAAATGGCGGCCACTGAAAAAGATCCCACCAATGTCTAGCTGCCACAATGTCCCAGTGAACCCAGGATCTTGCACATCTCCTCATTGATCAGCGCAAGGGCCGTTTGCCACCGCTGTGCATTTGCACAGGCCGTCAGCAACGCGGTCAAGGCGAAGGCGTTGAGCACGGGCCTCAAACATGGGGGATTTCACCACACCCTGGGAAATTTCGCCAAAAAACATGACATTTGTGTGACATATCCGTGGCTAAACCCACAACGATATTCAAAAAATCGCTTGCGGCTTTCAAGACGTGGTTTTCAACGGTTGATTCATGCCATGGAAGATATGGAAGTCTGGAGGGATCTAGACAGCAAATAATTTCAATCATCTTTGCTTTTAGAAGGCGTGCTGCTCTGATGACTCATGAACTCAGCCCTCATGAATTGTTGGTGATGTTCCCATGAACAAATACAATCTCCCATCTTTCAGGATATTCCCATTTCCAACTTGTTGGTTATACATGGCTATACCGGCTATGCCCCATGTTTTCATAGCTACCTTGATGTTCAGATTCAGATCCATCACCCGTCCACACCTCAAGTCTTCAACCAACTGCAAGGCTTGCTCCCAGCGCCCAGCGTTGCCACAGGCCTTCACTGCTGCTGTACCTGGCAGCATGGCGATCAAGGATACCCGCAGCGGGGTAACGTTGCTGGGAGATTTACGACGAGTCTTCCAATCACTTTCCACCTATTTTGGGCCATAGTTACTGCTGATAAATACCTGTTCTTGACGCTTCAATCCTTGAGAAAATCATGAATCTTAAATCAAGCTGAATCCGCATTTTTTCAAATCCACTTCAATCCCCAATTCCATCAATCTCCATGACATCCCCATTGAAACCACCATCTGTTGATGCTTCAACCGCCTGCATAGACATCCAGGGCATGGCCGCGGAAGAGCCCCAGGGCCCGCTGCCACTGCGCTGCCGCGCCCAAGGTCGCGATGGCCGCGCGGAGGCTGCTGGGGTCCTCGGTCACCCCATCCAGAACTGGAAAAATTGGCCAAAAACTGAGGCAAAAATTGGATGAACCTTGCCCCATTTTTTAAGCCATCTATTTTGCCCCAGTTGGCAAAAATGGGGCTTACTATTGGATGATCGAGCCAGTTGTAAGCCATCAAAATAGGGGGGATTCAACCTTGAAGTTCCTGGAGATTCTCAGATCATGGATGATAGTCCACTATATTGGGCAGTGTAACATAGTAATCAATACATCATCGTTTATTAATCAAATCCTCATGTCTTTCATGGTTGTCAGATGTTATCAAATATATCACATATATCAAATTTAGCTTAAAACGCTTATTGAAAAACCATCAGAATCATCAATGACCCCGGCGAACACTGGGAACAGCTGTCCTGCACATGGCTCCAGCTGAGTGCTAGCGCTTCTTTCCAACGTCCCTGCTCCTCCATGGCGCTGATGGCAGCGTGCAAACTCACCTCGTCCTGGGGAAGGTGGTGAATCCTGGGGATGAATCCATTGGAGTTACCTGTGACTAACAGTTTGCGACATGGAAAATGGCTGAAAAGTTCGTTGATTTACCGTATTTACCTCTTAAAACTGGTGATGTTCCATAGTTCTGTTAGTTCAGAGGGGAATTGCCCTCTTAAACCCTCACAAATTTGGTATCACCTGTGGCCCCTGGGCGTCCCAACCACCTCTCCCAGCTCATCCAGCAACACCAGCGCCCAAACCCAAGCGTTGCCCGAACAGGCGTCCAAGGCGATGTTGTAACCTGCAAAATGGAGGCGTTCACCAACGAAAATGTGGAGTTGAGCAGCTGAGCATCGAAAATGTTGATTTAACCAACGAAAATGGGGGAACAGCTGCTATTTTGTAGGGACAACATGATGTTTGGGTCTTTCTCCAAACATCGAGGATGTCCCCAAAGTTTCCATGCTAAATGAGGATCATGTAATTACACACCATTTTCAGACAAACTCAGCTGGCTCTTTGGGTGGCAGAAGTCAGGGTGGACGTGTCCCACACTCTCAGCCAAAATGGCCAAACTCCTTTGTTAGGCATCCAAACCGTCTCTGGACAGGACACTTAAATGCTTTGTTTCGGTCAGATTAGCCGAGGGAGTTCAGGTATCAAACTGGTTTTGGACGCATTTGATGGTTGATCATTTTCCCATCAAGTTGGGCATCATTTGGGGATGAAATCTGGACGAAGCTCTGATTCGATCAGCAGCAGGCCATCGCAAGAGATCCAAACAGATCTGCCACTGTCTGCCACGTCCCAAGGTTGTGAGTGCGGCATTCAATGTCCGCCTAGAAAAGAGGAGCCAAGGGTCTTGAAACCCCCAGAAAGGACAAAAACACATACGGGAGAAAACATGGCTATGGATCAAAACTGGGTACACCCAAAAATTGGACACAACTCGTAGATCAAGATATATATAATCTTCGTACATACATCTACATGTATGTATATTATATTTATAATCATATATATATATTATTATATATACATTATTATATATATATGATTATATGTCTATATATTGCCATTCTTGTTGGGTTGAAAATGCCAACCATTTTAGATCTCGAATCGGCGGATCCTCCGCGGATCCAGATTCGTCATGGAGGTTTCCATTTACAGATGGGATTTCCCATGGGATTTCCTATGGGATTATAACATGTTTTTTCACCATCCATTTATGGAAACCTCCATTTATGAGAAATTTATCCCATGGATTAACACTTATAAAGTTATAAACATTTATAAACCATCCATTTATGGAAACCCCCCATTTATGAGAAATTTATGGATGTCCCTCAAGAACTGTAGACATTCAGCTGCCCCACTTTTCCCCAGCCGGAGCTATGCAGAGGTTCATCATGGATCGCAGCATAAAAGGCACATTGGGATCCAGGATCCCTGGCCGCAGCGGAACGAACTTTTCATCTTTGGCCACTTTGATGCGGCCCAAAGTGCTGAGTTTCTCGAAAGCTCTCAGTTCCACCTCGTAGGGTCCGCGCCAAGCTCCACTGCTCTCCATGCGGAAGAGCGACTCGGCATTGGGGCGGGCCAAAATGATGCCTTCCAGGTACTTGGCATCGTAGATGTTGGACCCCTGCCATGAAAAGTCCCAGACCGATCCCAACACTGAAAGTGACTTGCCCTTGATCGGACCCGTGAGCGCCTCGTGCGACCCTTTGGCATCCATGAGTTTTCCGCGCAGCCTCAAGCACCTCAAATTTCCCGCCTTTTTCAGGCTTTCGAACAAGATGCACAAGGATTCCCAGGACCAGCTGCCGGCTGTGATTTTGAGCTGCTTCAATCGACCAGCATCCGACAAGACTTTGGTCAACTGCAGGGCTTCCTCCTGGTGAAACTGGCCAGCTGCATGGGCTGCACGAATGGGATCAATGCTGATATCATGGAGCTCCAACGCCTCCAGCCTGGAGGATTTCTTCAGCACCTGAAACCCCACATTTTTTCGATGTTTGACATGTTTTTTGAACCCCAACTTGGCCATTTTCATAGGGGAAATGAGGATAAACCTGATAAACCCATGAAATTTTGTAGCAAAGCATAGAGAAACCATGAGAAACCCACCTCAAGGATCAGAGGGTAGAGATCTCGAAGGCTTCCGGGCTCAATAAACTGCAAGGAGAGCAATGGCGACTTTGGAAATCGATCCAGTCCCCCCGAGATCCTCCACAATGCTTCGTCGCGAGGCAGCCGTTTTTGCTTCAAATGTTTCGCCAAGAATTCGGACATCTGATGTGTTTCAAGTCGAAGATGAAGTAGAAAATCTCCATTGGCAAAACTCTCCTGGTAACTTTTGGCTGCTTGTGCCAAGCTCCGCACGTCTTGGCCACGAAGGAAACCGTCGAAAGCACCATATTTGCACAAGTGTCGTCTGGTCATCAGGAGAGATGCCACTTTGGGCACTGCTCTACCAGTCTCATTTGCTGTCCAAAGTAAAGCTGTGGAAAGTGAATTGATGACGACTGAAATGGTTTGTGGCTCAACAGTGGGCTTCAATGTTCACAAATTTCGGGTCTTTCTGAGTCATTCCGAGTAATATCTCAAAAACAGTCACCTCCTTTTACATTCAACTCTTTTTAGGTCCTTCATCATATCCAATATTCAAAAAAAAATGCCTTCATCTTGGGGCCATCAATGGAGCCCCTCCAGGTGTCCATCACCTCCGCGTCGCACCTATCTGGCTGAGGCAACTCCGCTAACATCTGCAGAGCCAAGGGCCACAGCTCCGCGCTCAAGGACTTCATGGCAGCGCTGTAGCCTCGCAGTGCAAGAAAAAGACTGGGCGAATCTAGGGGGAAAAATATACCAAGGAGCTCTTTGATTAACAACCTGCTTTTGATGTCTTATTTATATATCTTTTATTAAGATGTTTTATTGTGTGTTTTTCGTTTCAGCTTTGGTGTTCTTGGGCATCCCAAATGTACAGAACAATGATTCAGCAACTGCTTTGGTGTTGGGGTCCCCTCCATTCCCAAATGAAGTGATCCAATCCGATACTCCAGGATTTCAGGTATTCAAAACATTGGATAGTCATTGGGGGCAGATGGGGCCGGGGATGATCATAATTCACAAACCTGAGCCATCTGGGGATGTCCTCCCCCATCCTTTTCTGCTTCTCGTGGCACAGCCACGGAGCATCAGTCGCGCGCAGACTTTGGACACAACTTGAGTTCGGCCAGTTCGGCACAAGGGCTGAGTTCGGACCTTAAGGCCCGTTCAATCCTTGCACACTTTACCCGGTAGCCGAAGATACTCCCACTTCCCTGCAGATCCACCAATGCCTTTTCGCAGATGGAGCCAAGGGATGGTTGCTTCGTGGCAAAACAGTGGATGTCCTTCGATGACTGGGGTCCAAAAACGAAGCAAAACACCCCCTCTCTTGAAACGAGCAGGGAACCAGGAAATGCAAATAAACACGTTCAAACCCCATCATCCGTGGCCTTTGCCACAGACAAATGGAGAATCAGATTGCGCAATCGAGTCACCCTCGATCGCCCTGAGCCAGGGGCCAAACAAATGAAAGATATGAAAGGATCACTCTGGAACCCTCCTCGACAAGGAGTTCTAGACAGGTTATGTTTTCAGGATTTCTACTTTGATGGCTTTTCAGAAACTAGTTTGATGCCATGCAAATGCTGGCGCTTCAAAGTTCCTGGCTGCAGTCAACATCATGACTGCAGTACATCGCCATGATTTCATCAGCCTGTCTCTCACAGGAAAAAGGCATGGCTCTGGGTGCTCTTGGCAACTAGTGTCAAACCCGGACTCGTAAACCAAATACAATGATAATTTGCTATTTGAATGGTACCCTCCAATTAGACATCGGAAGGGTCTACTAATCCGGAGTTGACATTACAAGTGCATGCTTGGTTTGTGTTTCCAAATCAACTTTGGCCTACTCTAAACTCTAATCACCAACCTCCGTGAAAAAGACCACCCAGTTCACGTTTTTGGCAGAAGTTTCAAATGCCAATCTCTGTAAAGCATACAAGACTTCAAGAGTGAAGACTGTGCATTCCTTGTGCAAAGGTACAACTTCTTCAATTCATTTGGCCTGAGGAAAACTTGAAAAGGCTCGAATTCTCCACAAGAACGAGCCCAAAAGACTGGATCGCCAGTGCAGTTCAGCCCCAAAGGCCAAAAAAAGTGCCTACAGCAGCCATCAAATCATCCGCAGCAAGTCATCACATCGCTTCCAGTGAACGGCTTTTTCAAGTTTATCTGAGTCGACTCCCTTCAGGAATTTCTCCAACTTGGCCACATGCTGTGCGTGCGTGCTGCGGATGGGGGCACGATTCTTGTCCGCGCAGTTGTCCATGGAATGAAAACTCAAGGTGGGTTCAACCATGCGAATAGACACCTGGCGGTTGAGCTACCGCAAAACAGCTGGGATCATCATACCAGTTTTCAAGGCTGTAAAATGAAAAGGTACATATACATATGTATAATATATATATATGTGATATGATATGATGTGATATGATATGATATGATATGATGTGTATATATATGATATGATATGATATGATATGATATGATATGATATGATATGATGTGATATGTATATATATATGTGTGTGATATGTATGTATATATATATGATGTGTATATATATATGATGTGTATATATATATGATGTGTATATATATATGATGTGTATATATATATGTGATGTGTATATATATATATATATATGTGTGTGATATGTATACATATATATATATATGAAAGGTGTGTATATATATATGTGATGTATATATATATATGATATGTATATATATATATATGATATGTATATATATATATGTGAAATGTATACATATATATATATGAAAGGTGTATATATATATACATATGATATGTATATATATATACATATGATATGTATATATACATATATTATATATATATGATACACGATAACATTTATAGTTGTATATATAATACACGATAACATATGAGGTTATATATATATATAATATGTATATATATATATGATACGTGGTAACATATATAGTTATATATAATATGTATATATATATGATACATGATAACATATACAGTTATACACATATATATATATACATATGTGTATATACATATTTGTACAGGAAAAAACATCCAACCCCTGCACCAGGCACTTCATCATTTTCCCCAGTTGGAAGTTGCCATTTCACCACCGTCTGATCCCTGGGGCACTGGACCGCTGAGCCCAACGAACATCCCATGGCACTGTTGACGCGTCGTGCGAAAAGGCCCCGATGTTGCGATGTGGCGAAAAAGCTGCAGAGTAGCGCGTTGGGATGAAATGCAGCCAAAGGTTCATAGATTGGATTAGTGGGAGTTATAATGGGATTTAACGATTTCTTGGAGAAAACAGTGGAATGTTGAGTTTGTATAAACCCATCAGAGTATTTGTTGTAGTGATGTCGTGGGTTGGCCGTTTTCTTTCAGGGAGTCAACCAAAAAAACATTGATCTAACAACCAGCAGTCCATCCATTGGTCAAGACGCAAAAATCATTGGCTTCACAGCTCTTCGCTTTCATGTCGTCCATCAGCTGTAAAGCCTGGTGATGGTGACCATGGCCACAGAGGAGCCCCCTGGTGATCGAATCATCCAACCACGATGAATATCTATCTATGTATGAATGTATGTATATATGTATGCATTTACACAGATATATACATATACATATACATATACATATACATATACATATACATATGCATATGCATATGCATATGCATATGCATATGCATATACATATACATATACATATACATATACATATATATATATATACATATACATATACATATAGATCTACATGTACATGTATATATATACATGTCTTCATATGGATCTATGACTACGTATACATAAGTATATTATATTATATATGTGTGTACTCTCAGAAGGCGATGAAGCTTTGTGAAAATATACGGGGATGGGTCAAAGCATGTCAAAACCTATCATAGCATAATTATGCGGGGGAGAGGAACTCCCATTTATCCCCATTTACAAAATTTACCACCAGTAAATTTGATTGGTAATTGCTGAGTACCAAGGGCCTGAACATTCCCCTTATCGAACCCTCGTCAGCCTGCGGCCACTCGCATGCATTGATCGCAGCGCCATAGCCTCAATGGCTGTCCCGGCCCCGAAAAAAACCACAGATTCAGATGCCATTTCACCTCAGCTAAGAAAACAACAGTTGATTTCCACGATTTTACGTCAGGTGATGTAAAATGATTCAGGTACCAAAATGCTTTCGCTGAAGAAATTCCAACCGTAAACGTGCGCTATACTGGAGTATCCCCCAAGCTATCAATCCCACCCTGTCGAGTCACTGATGACATCGGCTTGCAGTTCCAGATCTTCAAACCAGTGCAGCAACCCCAGGGCTTCCTGTGACAGCTTCATGTGTTTGTTGGACAACCTCCAGTTTTCCCACGGATAAAAATAATCATGTGTCATCATGTGTCCATCATTTTGTCCATGTAAATATGGTAAATCTTCAGGCTAAATTCCTACTCTGAACGGCCAGAGGTGCTGAAAACCCAAATCCCAACATGTTGCCGTTGTGTCCACGAGCCCATGTTGCACCATAGCAGCATGTTTTGTTGATTCAAAGCCTATTCTTCTTCTTTTAATCACAACTTTGGCTTCAGTCCCCATGTGCTGTGGTTAAATGCCCGTGGTTCTTCCTAAAATCCCTGACTTCTTTCTGCGATCAAATCCCATGTCCGCAGTTTTCATGCTTTCATTGGAGCGGGATTTGAAACCGGAAACTGCCATATTTCATGGTCAAATCCCCCATGGTTAAGATGTTCATCCACTGATGGATTCGCCCCTCGCGCACCTCCCATCGCTTAGCCTTGGCACAGGCACTGAGCGCCGCGCCATGGGAGCGGAGCAGGCCGCTTCCGCTTCGCGCGAAGTGCAACAGCAGGGCCTGATTCGGCCGTGGAGATGGAGTTCACCATCCAGAAATAGGCATTTCACCATGAACTCTAGGGATGTTATAGTGATTTAACGGGATATGAATGGGATAAATGGAGTTTTATTGGGATATGACAGTGGGATTTAGCCTCCAGGAAAATCAACTATAGGCAATAGAAAATCCGCTATAAATGAGTCTCTCACATGGTACATATCTATGACATCTATGAATGGTGTTTTTTCCATTGCCATGTTTGATTTCCGAAGGGTAACCGCGAGTACAAGGTTTTGCCACCTAGTGATATGTCTTTACTTCAAACCGATCAGGTCATAATCCCCATAAACTCTGCTTACTTTAGCTGTACACTAACCTAGCTAACGATGGGACACAGCCTTATAAGAATTTGACCAATAAACATGGGGATATAAACCCAAACATAATGGAGACATACTGGGCTCGTCACTATCATTCCCCCATCAGTACTGATCATCATGTTTGAAGTCAGGCAGTGAGCGAAAATATCCCCAATTGGGGATACTCAAGGATTTATCCAATACACAGATGTGTGTGTGTGTGTGTGCGTAATTTCCAAGAGTTTCTATTGTGTTTCATGAGAAAGCCTAGGAACATCAGCTCCAATTGCGGATGGGAGTTGGTTTGTTTTCGACATGAGCATTCATTGCCGTAATCATCTACATCTACATTCGTAAACTGTTTTTGCGACCTTTGCCCACCATTTTTTTGTTTTTGTGTGGCTAGAGGTAGGAAGTTTTGCCCTTCCAAGTCCTATCTGTTTTTCACAAAAGGTATGCTGCATGCCTTGATCTTTATCCCATTGATTGATAAGGGATCACCAATTATATAGGATGAATCCAATCCCCTTAAATCACAGAGTATCACCTAATTCTACACGATCATTCCTTGCCACCAAATATCAATGGTGAAACCATCATGGTCAAATCACCAGTGCTAAGTGACCAGAGCCAGTTCCCAGTGCTTCACACAGGCAGCAATGGCACAGCTGCATCCCACGTCATCGATCTCCACTTGTAGCCCTGTGAAAAACGATAGGTGTGTTTTTTCGGATGTTGATTCAGAAACAGGCAAACAGGGGACACATAATATCATACCCTCTGGTAAACGTTTACATAACTATGGAACATCACCATTTTCAATGGGAAAATCCACTATTTCTATGGTCATTTTCAATAGCTATGTTAAATTACCAGAGGGTATATCACCTAATCAACTCCCGAAAAGGTCAACAGGCAGGGACTCGCGTAGCTCTTTTTTGTCCCATCTATATTCCTCCATGAGGAATCATGCTCTTGTAAACACCAAGCAACCAACCAACCAACCATCACCATTTCCCATCAGCTCCCCAGGTGTCCTTCCAGTTCCTCTAGCAGTTGCAACGTCCAGGGCCACCTTTCGGCGTTCTTGCAGGCTGTCAGGCAGGCGGCCGCATGGTAGCTGTTCAGCTGCAAGTGTTGCTGTCGAAGGTCCTAAGATCTAAGATCCATGGTAGCTAGGGGTTTTCAGGAAGATCCACCTGAAATCCGCGAGTTTTTCCACGGAAATTCCAGTGATGTCAAACACCCTTGGCGAAGCAAACCACATCCCAAGGCGCATGAAGAATTGCGATGCACTCCACCGGTCTCGCCCGTTGCAAGCGTTGGGCCGCCGCACGGGAGTCCAGAACCTCGGGTTCTGCCCATCTCCAGGGAAGATCCGCCACAGTTGCGGAAAATTGGGGCACAATTGAGTTCAAAAAAACAAAGAGCAGATGATGACTTTTATATACTTTGATGTATTTTGGTGACACCCCTACAGTTCATCAACGAAGAAAATCCCGGACATGAGCTGGTCGAATGGGATGCTATCGATTTGATTCATCCCCTGGAAAAAAATGACGATGGCGATGGACCAAAACTCTGGTACAGCACCCTTCCGTTCATCCCAAAACGCTGTATATATAATATATA